GTCACTGCTGTGGCTGTTTTGTCACTTTGCTGGTCTCTGCTGCTCCACTGCAAGGCTGCAGCTTTGGCCCAGGACTATAGTCTGTAGGGTGGCCCCACCGAGAATCGAGGGCAGGGCTGCACATCCACGGGCTGTCCCACCAGCTCTGCTCTGCTGCTGGAGCTGTGTCCCCACCTCGGGAGCCAGGGCTGTGTGCTCCCTTTGAATGCTGGTAAAAACAGAAAGCATTTCCTTATTGTTAGTGGTGGTGTGGAAGTGCTTCCCACCGGGATGCCTTTTAGATGCTCCCTCAGCTGTTATCCTGTGGAAGGAGACAGAGATTTTTGCCTCCTGTGCACTTTACTCATTGGATTAAAGATAAAATTTAAGCTTTCCTAAAAGACTGGGTAGCCTTAAAAATGAATGAATACTTGGGATTAAAGACCCATGAGATCATTTGTTTTTTCTAATCCTGTTTAGAAGTAACTGTTGAAATAAATGGATTTACTGGTGGATTTAAGAGGAAAATGTGAATCTAGAAAATCTACAAGGTCTCATTGTACATTTACCTTTTGAGTTGTTGAACTCTGAGGATCAGGTAATTAAATTCATGAGTCAGGGAGGAAATGAAAGTAGGTTGTAGGAGTTACCATCCTTCAAGATCATTAAAGCTGCAGAATGAGTTGACATTTCTGTGTTACCCAGGTGAACTTGGCCATGGCACTGTGTCCCCTTTCCTCATGTGACAACGTTGCTTCTGAGGTGAAGGCACCATCGGAGCCGTTGTGATTTTTTGTGTTGTGAAATGATGCTTTGCCACTGTGCTGCTCCTGCAGGTTGGTTTGGGTTCGTTTTGGGTGGTTTTTAATGTATTAGTAAAATGATAAAGCCATACAGTGCTTCCTTGGGAGAAGGGAGATGTGTCACCTGCTGAAGCTGCAGCTCTCTGCTGCTAAAAGCAGATGGATTTGTGTGTCCTGTCTGGGGGTTCTCCCAATGCACCTGTCAAAGGAGGATGAGTCTTGCTGGGAAGCTTAAAATTCCCTCCTCCCTGGCATGATGTCAATGTCCGCACCTCCTGCAGCACAAGGTGTAAAGATAATTTGCAGCCTCCTGCATCAGCATCCTTTTAATTGCAGAAAACAGCTTCCAAATCGCCAGGTGGAGAGGGGGATCAGTGGGGATTCCTGTGCAGAAAGGAGGAGCTGAGGAGAGCAGGGATGGGCCAGGTGTCTGCCCATCGAGGATGTTCCCTGTGCCACACTGCCAGCACAGCTGCTCTCCCCAGGTGGTGAGGAAGCTCTGCAGCCAGGCAGGAGTTACAGAGGGGTTCGATGGCACTGGGGGATGCTGTGAGCTGTGCCGTGGTTCTGGGCAGCAGAGCCTCACTCAGCTGCCTCTGCACATGGGCTGTGGGGACGTGTTCTGCTCCATCAAACCTAAAGTGACAAAACCATTTGTAATCTCTCATTACCAGCTCCTCTGGGTTTTCCTTCCACGCCTCCCTCGTGGCATTGTTCAGCAGCCAATAACTTCCTGCTCTGGCCAGCTATGCTTAAAAATGAAGTTTTAGGAATTAGCTGAAATATTTTACTCAGGGATCCACAGGAAAAAGAATTAGGTCAGATCTGAAATATTGCTGCTAATGACTGAGTAGCCTTTATTAATTACTTGTGCTTGATTGCAATTTGCCACAAGTGGGTATATGTGCTTTTACCCCTCTGATTCTCTCCCCCACCCCGTGGGATGTAAGGAAAAGGGCTGTGGAGGGGCTTGGTTGCTAGCTGGGGTTAAACCATGACAGTGCAGCCAAAGTTCATTATCTACATTTCTTCCTAGACAGGAAGTGGTTTCTCACAGTAAGTAATCATCTTGAAAATATGTTGCAGAAGGCACCTAACTCTGTGCACAATTCTTTTCTTTTAATTATATAGATGTTGAGAGTGACTCTATTTAACTCTTGTGTATGCAAAAAAAAAGAAGGCACTAACACTTTAAAAGGAATAAAATATCCCTCTCTGATCCCCCTTGACAGGACAGTCAGAGCAGGCTTTGTGTTTCCTGCAGGTATTTAAAGTTTGTTGGGGTAACCAGCCACTCCCAGGGTTTGCAGCACAGCCACCCCATCCATCCTCCCTGCAGCACAGCAAACATCAGCTCACCTTCCCTGGGGTCCTACCAAACCTGAGCCCATGCCAGGCAGCTGTTTGGCTTCTTGGTGGTGTTCAGAGCACACACTTGGCTTTCTGGCAAGGCCTGAACCCCCTCCAAAGGCAGGGACCCCCAGTGTGCCTGGCCAGCCTGCAGTGCTGTCAGGAGTTGTGCACTGGTTCATGTTTTAAATGCCTGAAGCCTAAATCTGTAACCCAGGTGTTCTTCCCGTCGTGCCTGCTCTTCTCTTTGATTTACCCCTTTTGGATGAAAATCTTCAGTATATTAAATAAGTACTTGACCATCTTTCTTTGTGCATAATGAGGAAGGTTTCTCAAAAGTTTTCTTGCAAGTGGATTCCCATGTGGCGCCTGTTAGTCACAGCTAATTACAGAGGTTGGTGAATGAGGAATTTATCTGCGCTCAGGCTCCCCTCCTCCTCCTTCCACAGTGCTTCAGAAGAAAATAAAATAAAATTCCTGCAGACAAATCCAGGTTTTTCTGTGGTCGTTGTCTCCGAAGAGCTCCAGAGACATCACAGATGTGGTTTCACATTTCAGGTTTAACTATGTTGTAATAACTACAGTCTTATCTGCAGGAGAAATGCAAGTGGGGAAAGAATCATTAATTGACAGTGAAAAGTTTGACCCGGGCGCTGTGTGTTTGTTTGTTTTAAGCAACAGAATATTTAGCCAAACGATATTTTAACTTCTGACTGCAGCCCTGGAAGGTTACAACAATCTCTATAGGTTAAAACCTAGGAATGATATAGGAAGGAATATTTTAACTTCTGACTGCAGCCCTGAAGCTTACAATAATCTTCATAGGTTAAAACATAGGAATGTTATAGGAAGGGATATTTTAACTTCTGACTGCTTACAATAATCTCCATAGGTTAAAACCTAGGAATGTTATAGGAAGGGATATTTTAACTTCTGACTGCTTACAATAATCTCCATAGGTTAAAATCTAGGAATGTTATAGGAAGGGGAACTCGGATACGTGCTTCAGGAAAGCCAGTCCTAGGAAAGCAGAAATTCTTGTGGTTTAGCTGAAGCCAAGACAAGCAGCTTCAGTTTTAATTCAGCTGCACACAAACACCCTGCAGGGTGCACAGACCTTGCTCTGCAGCACAGGAGGGTTTTTGGGTGCCTCAGTGGGTGCAGAGCAAGGCAGCTGTGAGAGGTGAGTGAAGCCTCGTGGCTGAGCACACAACTCCCATCAGACCTTTGACTAAAGTCTAATTTTCCTGTCTTTTGTCAGTGTTCATTCAGGAAGTCTGCTGGCTTGAATGAGTTCCTGTGTGTGTGTAGTATGAGCATTATCCTGCAGGACTACATGGGATATGTCTATTATTTGTCACAAAGGCACCAGTGACCTTCCTGCCCCTATATTAGCAGCGCCTGCTGTTTTTCCATACTGCCAGTTGTCAGGAATGCAGATCATCCACAGAGTTGAGTACAATCCTCATTGGTCAAATTATTGTCTCAGCAAAACAAAATGCTTTAATTATAACAAAATAAAAATTAGAGATGTCGTCTCAGCAGGATATTCCCACTCAAATGCATATTTGAGGCTGGAAAAATGAATAATTTAGTGGGGAGATGAGGCAGATTACATAATGAAATTATGCAGCACTTGAATTACCTCTGTTTTAACAGGTATGTTTGTTTTTTTGTTTTTTGGTTTTTTTTTTTGAGGTTGGTTTGTGGTTGTTTTTTGCCCCTAGTTTCTGTTTTCTGTTTTCAGAACTGCAGCACACAGAAGACTTCAGGAGTAGCCTGAACTTTCAGAAATATGACCAGGGCTAGGACAAGAGAATCCTACCTAGAAAACAAAGTCTAAAACTGAGCTCTGGGAATCATATGCACAGATGCAAACTCTTAAAATTAGTACAATACTAAGAGCTGTATGAAAGGTCATTGGTAACAAATCTAAATATTCCTGTATTTCATCAGAGCAATTGTTTCTGTGTACTTATTTGATAGGAATGGGCTTTATTATGATAGCCCTGTATCAAAATTACATGTTTAAAAAGCTATATATTAAAAAAGTGCTAGAAAATGTTCTTGTCATTGCTACATGCTTGGGTTGGTGGATAAACCAGTATCTCAGAACATCTTTGTGCTCTGCTGGAGAGCACTGAAGGTGTCAGTTTTCCTTGAGAAACACTATATGAATTCTAAATTATAAGATCAGTTTAAAAAATCACTGTAAGGCTGAACATTGTGTGAATGTTTATTTCTTTTATTATTTTTATTGTGTCTTCTTTTATTATTTTTGTTTTGTCTTTCCTGTATCTCTAGGAGGCTCAGGGGTTCAAAACCCAGTTGGGTGACAGTTCTGCTATACAAATTGCTGAAAGGAGCAAGGTTGAGTTTAGTGAAATGTCACAGTGGCACACATGGTGCTGCCCCATCGAGCCTCTTGTCTGAAAACCTTGAAACTATTTCAACTTGTTTCAACTGTTTCGACTCTTGAAACTGATTTTTGCCTCCAAAAAAATATTTGGGTTGTTTTGATAGTTAGCATAGGGAAAGAGTTTGAACATTCCCGAACTGTGATAAAAAGCTTAAGGTTTAGGCTCTGTTATTTTAGTGTTTTTCCCTTTCTCTCTAGTGAGTAAATGCCCCCAGGGCTGATTGCACGTAAAGTACAGAAATAACATCAGACATGAATCTAAATTCAAATGTGTATTTTAACATATGTGTGTATTTGGATCAGTGTGTGTCAGGGGCACCCCCTTGAAAAAGGCTGTCTGCAGGTAATCTCTGAAGCACAAAATTGTTTTAATTCAGAAAAAAATTGGAGAAGGGAAGAAATTTTTTTTTAATTTCAAACTGATGCAGTTTGTCTTATTTTCCCCAAAGGACACCCTGGTTTAATGGATGGGGCTTTAATCTGCCCAGAGGTCAGTCTTTGCTAGACAAGTGGAACCTTATTCCTGAGGGAATTGATATACTAATGACACATGGACCTCCCCTTGGTAAGTGAAACAGAAGTTCTGTGTGATTTTTGCATAAGAATTTTACTTTCAAAGTTGATAATGCTGTAAGATATACTGTAATTGCACCCAGAGTAAAAACTGTGGATTGGAAAACTTTCTTAAAGAAGTGGAAAATGATGATTAGGCTTAGCTGATCTGTTGAGCTTCCATAAAAAACTTGAATTTTTTTATTAAATTCAAGCTAGGGAAGATCAAATATCTGACACCATAACCATTATAGTGTGACATTTTATTTAAGAATATATTAATCTGACAACCAGTTTTCAATCCCATATGACTTATTAGAGATTGACTAAAACTTTTGAAACCTTTTCTCACTACAGTGTCATGTCATTTGAAGGTTTGAGAGGAGCAGTCAAGAGTTTGGAACTATGTAGTCACATATTCTCCTTGATAATGTCCTTGTAAACTTAGAATATGTAAGAATAGTTTTAAAGGTATTAATTGTCTTATAAAAAATTTGTGAAGGAATAAAATTATGTTCTTAGATAATTGTTCCTAACTTGAGCTAATGACAGGTGAGCACCAGTGTGTGAATGCATAATTTGTTTCTTCATTAGGTAGCTGAAGTTCCTAATTTAGTTGAGTTTTGCTTGTCAGTGTGAGTCATTGGCTGCTCTCAGTCTTGAGGTGCAAACTAAGCTCTGCCAGGCTCAGCAGGACCCCAGGACTCTCATCCAGCAGAGGCAGGAGTGCCCAGTTTTGGCAGCTCTGGAGCAGCTCAAGCCCTCACTAGAGCCCTTTGGGGACTCCCACTGTCCTGCCTCCAGCCTGTGCCCCACGAGGCACAAGAATGTATTTTTTATTGCCTTTCCTCCGTGGGGCAGGCAGCCTGGGACTGGGGCTTGACCATCCCAGCTGCCTTTCCAACAGCTGAGCCTCTTCCAAATTCCACTTCTCAGGATTAGGAAGTGTGGCAGTGTCTTCATTGCCCTTACTCTGAGAGCAGTGATTTTTGTCAGGGTTTTAGGATTTTTGTCAGGGTTTTACTGAGCTCTGGCAGTCCAAGGGGTCACACAATCACAGGGAGTGACCAAATCACAGTCACTTAATCCATTCATGGCAGGAAATATGTAAAATCTGCTCAGAATTGCATGGTGCCACTATAAACCAGCATTTTAAGCACTTGCAGGCTGGTTCAGTGTTCTTTTAGAGCCTCTTGGTGACTGTGAATTCAGGAATTAATGCATGCTTATGTTCTTTTACCACAATTAAGAGTCAGCAATTCAAGCTAAGGGGAAAAAAGAAAAGTCCAGAAAGTTTTTAACCAATTACCCTTACTATTCCTTTTATATTCTGACTAGTTTTTTAACATTATTTAGAGAATGTTGTAAGATGATCAGCAAACTCTCTTTAATCTTCCTGGAGCTGCCAGTGTGCTGCAAACCAGGGCCTTGAACAGCACTCTCTTAATCACTCAATTTTCCCAAAAAATAACAAAAAAAACCCCAACTCCAAATGTGTTTATAATGTTTCATGGGTTCTATTTTAAATGGGTTGTTCATCCATCTGCTCTGAACTGGGTTCATACAGAAATACAGTGATGCAGCAGACACTAATGAGTGCTGTAATTGAATAAGCCTGCTTAAATGTTGTGTTTGAAGGAGATAATGAAGTTCAGTTTCAAAAGGCTGGCACTGTATCTCAGCTACAGACACGGATTAGGTGTCAATACTGTGCCTAAAATGAGGGGCTCTAGGTCTCAGCCTGTATGATAACATTGATAAAATACTGCTTTTTAAATGAGTGTTAACTTATTAAGTGAATATTGAGGGAGGTAGAGCTATAGCTGGACCCTTTGGTCACTCTAAAATTTAGCCAAGTTCATGTCCCAGCATGTTTTTGCTCAAGTCAGTAGAATGGTGCTGCAGCTGGATGTGGCTCCTGATTTCCCTTTCACTGCCTTTTCCATGCCAGTCCAGGCAGCAGGCTCCTGCAGGGACTGATGGCAGCTTATGTAATAATTTTTCTGTATGTTAATTTTTCTGCACTGGCTTGTTGGGAGCTGGGTTGCACTTTTTGTGTGGTTTGAGGCTGGTGATGAGGGCTCAGAAGTGACCTGATGCCTGCAGACCACGCTGCTCCAGAAAATGTGGCAGTCTGTATTTTAAATCTTTGGCACTGAGTCGTAGCTTAGCTCATCTTCCTGAGATGTTTCATTTCTGGAGTAACTGCTGTAAGAGCCAGGGGAAAGGGAAGAAAAATCTGCAGCAGTGCCAGGAAAACTCTGCAACAGTGCCCAGTCCCTGGGGTTTCAAGGTGGAAGAAACCTATAGTTCAAAAAAACAAATCACATCCAGAAAAAAATATTAATGCAGATGGAGGGAGGAAATCTTAAGGAAGACAAAGTGACAGTGAAACATTTCTTAAAAGCCATTGTGTGCTTTAATGGAGAGGTTATGACTGGAGATAATGCAATAAACCCAGTGTGAATTATGACTTCCTGAAAGACAGGGTGAAACCTCACCTGAAGAGGGAAAGTGCACAGCACTGATTGCTTTTTGTGCCTTCAGGTTTCCGAGACTGGGTTCCCAAGGAGCTGCAGAGAGTGGGCTGTGTGGAGCTGCTGAACACGGTGCAGAGGAGGGTCAGGCCCAAACTCCACGTCTTTGGTGGGATTCATGAAGGTAAGGAGCAGAGCTGTTCCCTGCTGCAGCTCAGATTTCCAGGAGCACATTTTGGTGGTGTATTGCAGTGGGTAATGGCATATTGGATTAAAGTAGGGACGGAGTTCAGGGAAGCGATTGCCTGCGTGGCACTTTGTAAATTTATTCCAGAATTAAAGCAGACTGTTTCAGGAATGTGTGCTACATTTAGCCACCTACATCTTTCACTGTGCAGCAAAGGTTGTTCCATGCAGGTTATTTGAAAGCAATTCAGATTTTGACAAACTCAGTTAGAGAAACAGATGAGATTCCCCACATTTGCGAGCCAAAATGAAAATTATCCCCATTACTCCAAGCACAGGAGCTAAGAAAGATGCTAGAGGAAAAAAAAGGAAATGTGAAGACAACTTCACCTCCCTCAAGGTATAAGGAGCAGCAGAAAGGAGGGCACCTCGAGTTAGTCTCATGTTTTGGAAGAGATATTCCCCCTCTGTCATTGCCAGCACAGCAGAGTGTGAAGCTTCAGAAACAACAAGCTCAGTTTGTGGCAGTGGAGGGGAAGAGACTGAGAGATTAAATCCATTCTGGAGATACTTAAATATTTAATACAATTTTGTGGCTTTCATGTGGCTGAGAGACAAACACTAGGAGTTCTGCCTGGGAGAGAGTGCAAGACTTCATGACCCTGCAACTCAAAATTACACATTAAATGTTTTATATTCTCCCCCTGGAGGTTTCTCCATTGTCTTTAACTAGGTTCTCCATAGGCCTAAAGATTTTGAGGACTTCATAAAAGCCAAATAAAAAGAGGACAGCTTTCTCTGCCAGTGCTATTGGTTTTTCTGAAGCCCTTGTGGCTTCATACAATGATTTCCATCCCTGGCATGTGTAAATAAAGAGTTTATACCAGGAATGCTGACATGACCCTCTGCATAGAGGCATAAATAACAGTCCTTTAATATACCCATTAAAAATATTGGGTATTTTGTACAAATATTAGTCCTTGCATATTAAAAATAAATTAATATGGCAAGACTCCCAGCTAAAATGTGTAAATTGTAAATTTGGGTGGTGAAACTTGTGGTTGTAACAGTGCTAAAGGTGGGAGAGGAGGGTGTCTGAATGTCCAAGAGCATCGTTATGAAAAAGCACCACATTTAAATTTCCTGGGAAAGGCAGCAGGACATATTAAAAGTGAGCATTCAAATAAATTCTTGTAAAAATGCCAGCAAAAATTTAAACTAATTCCAAGTACTTAAACAGATGACATAAGAATGGCTTGTTTCAGTACCAGGAAGAAACAGCAAAGTGTTGAGAGCATTATCTTAGGGTGCAATTAATTTTTATCCAATCCCAGCTGAGATGAACATGCACCACACTCTCAGGAGCCAACAGAGGCTATACACATATTTTGGTGATGCAGGTTTTTTCCCCCTGTTTGATAAGCAAAACAACCACAAACAAGGTTTTTCCCACCATGAGATGATCTAAATCAAAATTGCCAGTCTAAATAAATAAAGTGATACAGGTGGACAGTGCAGCAATTCTGAAGTGATTATTCTTTCTGATAGGCACTGTGGGTAGCTGTATTTATCTTGGCTTTCAGACAGCAGTGATCTGTACTGTATCATAATGGTTTAAAAGAAAAAACCTTTTTCCTCTGTGGGTTTGCAATAGGAAGCTTTCTTCCTCCATGAAACTCTGGGGTTTTTTGGTGTTTTTTGGGGGTTTTTTTTGGGTTTTTTTTAAGTACATATGGGTCAAATACTTCCTAGATGTTTTCAAGCTTCTTTGTAAGCTTTCTGTGGATGTCAGCTGAAAACACACACTCTTCCATAAAATTGTTGTAAAATAGATATATAAATTAAATAATGGAGCCATAGAATGGTTTGGACTGGAAGGGACTTTAAAGATCATCTCATTCCAAACCCTCTGCCATGTGCAGGGATATTTTTCACTATCCCAGGCTGCTCAGAGTCCTGTCCAGCCTGGCTTTGAACACTTTGGGGACAGGGCAGAAAAACATTCCCTGGGCAGCCTGAGGAGATGTGCATGTGTGTGTGTTTTTAACCTGCTGAGGAGTACCTAAGGTTTCAGAAGCTGATGCCTCAGGTTTTGGCTTTTCTATTTCTCACAATCTGTGCTGCTTTAGTGTGCACTCCTGAGCTTCCCATCAGGGGATGCTGAGCTCTCTGCACAGAGCAGGGACACAAAACAATTCCTTCTCCAGCTGGGCACCAAGGACAAATGATCCAAATCTCAGCCCAGGAGCACAAACAGCGTGGGCTGGAGAGAGAAAAACAAGCAGGATGGG